CCCCCCCATCGCCATGGTCGCTGACACAGCCCCCCCCCATCCGTCTGCGCCGATTCTCCTTCCAGGACGGCGTCGTGTTTATGGCGCCAGTAAAAGACTCGCACTCACTCACTCCCTCACTCCTCCGAATCACTGCTCAGGTCGTAAACGCTTCGACTCCCCCTCACCTTTTCCCCAGCCCATTCCCTTGTTCCACCACCCTGCCCCGCTCCGCCGCCGCGGCTGTGCCACATGTTCATCATTTGCACCGCATCACTTTGCACGGGCAGATGCGTCGTTGCGTGCAAGAGGTTGTCAGCGAGCGTCGGTTCCGTCGGCGACATCGGCTGCGTCCCCGTCAGCCGTTTGTGTAGTGTGTTCTACTCTGTCTGTTTTTAACGGTCCCGCCGTCGCTGCAGCGGTGTGGCGGCGAGGTTAGGTCTCGGATTAGGTTCCGCCCCGCGGCCGCGTACGCCTGCCCTTGCGCTGGAGCGTGCACCATGAGCGAACTCGCGCTCGCCCGACGACCTGAACCTGAACCGGACCAGCGCGCGGCGTCGGCAGCGGCAGCGCGTGTGAAACAGGTACCCGCGGCCGCGGGCCCGCTTGGTACCCGCCGGGACCCGCCGAGCCGCTCCCGCTCCCGTTGCCCTGATTACCGAGGGGAATTAGTGAACAGCTCATGGGAGCGACAGAACCCGGCACCGGCACCATCGGGAGGAAGACGAGAGAGAGAGATAGAGGAGAGTTAGACCGCGGAGAACGGCAGGGAACGAGAGAGGGGGGGGGGGAGAACATGCAGGCCAGGCTAGAAGGGCGATTCCGCACAGCGCTTTCGTACTCTCCCGTCCTTGTCGCACTCACAGGACGCCCCGCCACTGGGTGCGAGAGAGAGGGCACGAGAAATCGCTGTGCGGAATCGCCTTGCTGGCCAGGCCATTTGTGTGGAAAGCAAGGAGACTTCGGGGTGACGTCCTTGGCGGCGGCGCCACCACGGCGGCGCCACGCGGTCTAGGCGGTGGGGCCGTGCTGGGCTGCTTTGGGCTGGGCAGCGCTGGGCAGGGCAGTACACCAACGCGCACGCGATGAGTCACTGCGAGCCACTCCTCATAGCGGCGGCGTGGCAGCTGCTGCCCATAGGGTGCGGCCCCACGGCTCAAGCTCATGGACAGCGCCGGCGCCGCGCACGACTTGCGGCCATTTTTCGTTCATTTCTAGACGGGACTGGCGCTATCCACTGCTCCTCCAACTGTCGAGTTCACATGGAGAGGGATTTTCAAACCTCATCTCTGGGAGAAATACCAGGTGGCTAACTCATCAGTCCCGTGCACTTTCGTAGTTATATGCTGTACCGCATGCACGCGTGCCGGCAGGATGCCTACTCGCACGGGGGGCAGCGGGGGGATATGCAAACCTCAAAAGTGCGCAGCGACCATGGCTCAGCCCATGGCTCATCCCCATCGCTCAGCACGGCACATGGCTCAGCACATGGCTCAGCCCTGCTCCTGGCGCCCATGGCTCAGCCGCCCGTGCTGCTCTCCCTTTACTGCTGGGCCCGTTATCGGGGCTGCCGCTGCTCAGGTGTCTCAGGCCCATTAGGCCCCGGGAGACGTGGCGTGGCGGAGGGCAGCGGCGGAGGAGACGGTGTGGAGGGGAGGCAAAGGAAAGGAGTAAGCCGTGAGTAAGCTGCTGCTGTGCTGAGGCGCCAGCGGCGCCAGCCTCATTCTCCGAGCCGCTCAAAGGCTGCGGTCGAGGCTAGCGCCACTAGCGCCCCGGGGGTAGGCAACGCGCTGGGCGCCCCCGCCGGGTGGGGCTGCCCGCCCGGAGGGCTCCTCGCAGCAGCACGGCCCAAGCGATGAGCGGACGAGGAGTGGGCTCGCCCCTTTAGAGCACAAAATTAGGTTCATTTGTCGACCCAGAAAGAAGAGGGAAAGGGGAAAGGGAAGGGCCGGGGGCTGGGAATGGTGCCGCGGGGCGCCGAGGGTGGCGCCTGCCCGTGTCCCATAGAGCCCGAGAGCAGCGCCCAGAGCTTCACCTTCCTTCCTCGGCTAAAGTGCTGCACCACTCCCCCCCCCCATCCCCCCGTCCTCTCCCCTTCCTCATTTCGCGAAACGAATAGGAGCAGCAGAGTCCCTCCCCCGGGTGGTGGTGCCCGTGGGTCCCCTTGCTCCGGCTCCGGTCCCCTTTGGGTCCCCTCGGGGGGGAGATGCTATGGCGCACACCCCTGTGCCCGGGCTCAAGCCCCGCTCGCTCCAAATTAATTTCGCTTGTTTTTCCTTCCGGAACGGGATGGGGCGAGGCGGTACTATGGTGGTTGTCAGACCCTCCTGCCCCATCTCTTTCTCTCTCTCTCTCTCCCTCGCATGTAGAGAGTATCTCTCTCGCCGTCTCTCGTCTCCATCACACACACACACACACACACACACACACACACACACACACACACACACACACACACACACACACACAGCGGCCTCCCATGGACCTCTGCGCGCATCCGCCATATACTCCGTCGCTGGAGCTCGTCGCTCACGAGGCTGGAGTACGTACGCACGTACGTACTCGGCCTCCAGCCGGCGGTGGATCGGGCCGCCGTGGGGACCGGGCCGGGCCAGGGCGGCGATGGGCTGATACGTTTTGACAACCTGTACGACGCGCAGCAGCGCCAGGCTGCGCCGCCCGCTTATCTGGATCTTCATTACGGGCCGGGTGTTGTGCCGGGCGAGGCGGGGCGGGGCGGAGCGGGGTCTGGTTCGGCGTCACGCTCACGTCCCGCCGTGTGAACGATTCGGCTGACGCAGGGCTGCCGCCTTGTAAAACTCCCTGTTTTTCATTATATGTTTTCTGCGCTACCAGCGGGAGCGGGGCTGATGCCTTTGCGCGCCGGAAATCTATAATGGAATGAAAGGAGTGGCGCGGCGCTCAGTCAGTCGTTGAATGGACCGGACTTCGCGGGGCGTGGCGGGGTGCGGGGCGGCCAGGGGATCCGGAGTCAGCCGTAGGGCTCCG